GCTTCACTGGCTCTGCCTTGGTGTATGCAGGGACGTATGCAGAGCTGTGATCTGGAGGCTTCACTGGCTCTGCCTTGGTATATGTAGGGACGTATGCGGAGCTGTGATCTTGAGGCTTCTCTGGCTCTGTCTTGGTATATATAGGCACGTATGCAGAGCTGTGATCCTGAGTGCTATTCTGCGTAGTCTGAGGTGGTGGCCGCAGGAGCTCGTGGTATGTGTTACCACTAGGCTCATCAATCTCATATCGACGTCCAATGTTCTTGTCTTCGTGTTTGTAGTTTTGTTCTTTGTAGACTCGGCTCTAAACTTGCGGAGTGTGTAGCCGATGTTATAAATAGTAAAATTGGGAGGAGCTTACAATTTGGTTCAAAGTTTTTGAGGCGTCGCTACGTTTGCTTGTAGTTTTCTGCTCATCGTTGTTTCTACTCAGTGCCATCTTATCACGAAGGTGTTTTACAGCTGAAACTTGCGATAAAAGAGTCAGGAGCTCTGACAATAATCATGGGCGTTACATCTAGTGATAAATGTTTACTCGGAAATATTTTATTAGGGCTAATACACGTGATAAAATTTCAAGATATTGGGCTGTTTTAAAGGTTATACCGGTTTGCGAAGTTCAACTTCGAATCGCCATAACTCTTTTCGAGATTATTCTTTGCAGTAGCAGTAAACTGTATTTGGAATCTACAAATCTTTGGCTAGGCAATCTTTGGCTAATCTTCTGGGCACACTCAAGAACCATTGCAGTAACAGGGAAAAGACTTTATAAGCGAAATCAAGAAACATGTCCGTGTACAAGCCTCCTTTTTGCGAAATCTTAACTTGATTTGGGTTATAGTGACATTGCGCGAGCTCTGCTCATTGTGTGGCCAGTATTCGGCCGAGCAGAAATGCTAACCTTGAATTTAACCAAAATTTCTCACAAAAATTTTTTGCGGAAAAATTCGGATTGAACTTATTCTGCTCTTTCTGCGGTGGCAAAAATTGCACATATTTGAAAAACATTTTTCTGTTCGGATGTGACAATTTGAGAAATTTTTCAGTTTTTCTAGTACTGGTTGTTCTAGGCTCAATCTTACTTATAGAGCGGAAGTTTCGCGATTGCATTGTGTTTACGTTTTTATGTGACTCAAAAAGACCACAACGACAGGTCATTTTCATGCTGGGATTTTACAAGTTCAAAAGTTTTCTTGAATCTTATCTTGGTAGTCTTTTTGAAGCTAAAGTCTCCAGTAAGCATAACTTGCGTTTCAGAAAAATTTCTATCCTGGCCGTAGATTTCCCGCAAATAAAGCAAAAAAAAACGAAAATTTTTCACATTTGTTTCTCTGCCCTTTTATGGAAACACAGAGTGATCCAAGTCCTATGGAAATGAAAAGACGCATGAGAAGCTTGAAGAAAAGTGCTTTTGAACGATGTAAGTATTGTTTGCATGAAGTGGTTTCTTCCCTCAGAAACGGCAGTTCAAAAGGAGGAACAAAACGGGTAGAACTTTTGAAACAATTTAGTATATGGGAAGGGTCCAACTTTTGGTGTCGAATGTAAACGGGGCTTTGAGTTTGCTTTCGCTCAAAAAGTATGACGCCACAACCGTCATTTTTACTTGTAGAAAGGGAATTTGCAATAAGGGCACTATTGTACCCCTCAATTCATGCTGTACAAAACCCATGAGTTAGAATCTATTGGCTCGTAAAGATAATCGCCACGAGTGTGCGTGACATTATCCACATAGTTTTCTAGACGCATTGATTTTGAGATAAGCTGCTGAAGTTGTATACATGTGCAGGAGCCCAATTTTGAAACAGTAACACAACAAGACATCATCATTTTTATCATGCAAGAACATTTTTACAAAACTTTGCTTTGTATAAGTTTGCCCATATTTTTCGGCCACCCCGCTTCGAAATGTGCGCTAAACTCAGAGCTTACCTTCCCTGCTTGGTAGGAGGTCCATAGCGGGATGTGATGACTGGTAAAATAGATTTGAGGCTGGTAAGTCTGTTTCAGTGTGAAGCCCAGCCGCTTCTTGCGTATCTGTTCGTCCATGATGATGCTCTTCATACGTGTAACGAGTCTGGGTCTGTCTTTCTGCTTGGGAATCACTGATTTTTCCATCATTGTTCTGAGAAAAGTTTTGTTTACACGTGTCGCTATCTCATGCAATAAAATGTACATACTTCGTCATTTCTGGACTTGATCTTGCACTCTGGACTCTTATAAATCACTTTGCCGCCTACTACTGCCCGAGGATGGTCGCGGATTTTTGGACGAACCACATGGCGCACTGACGCT